CCTGGGCAAGATGGCGGGGTCCAAGGTGAAGCAGGACATGCCTCCTCCGGGAGGATATTCTGCTTTTGATTATAAGAGAAACCTTCCGAAACGAGGATTATCGGGTACATGCACCTCATATAAACCTTCTTAAATCCTGGAAAACAGAGAAACTCCAGTCCGACTGGACATGTTGCGCTGTCCCAACATTAGCTCATGCTAACTGCTCGGTGTCAGCTCATATAGAGCCAATCTGAATGAAAGGCAGGCTGTTGGTAGTTTTGTTTTTTATGTAGCTGTGCTTCTCCCGTAAGGGAACAGTATTATGATTTTCACCTGTTCTATGTATTGGTGAACTAAACGTATACATCACTAAGAAAACACTTTAAGCGGATGAGACTTGCTAAACTCCTAGTATGTTTGCTTTGTTTACTTTGGTCCCTTTGAAGGATACAGCTTCGTTTAGGGTGAAAAACTATTGATTATCTGATTAGTTTAACGCATATCCAGAGCTGTGCGAGTGCTACTTCAATTGCAGTATTCCAGGAAATTCCTGGAATACTTCGATTTAATAACTGCTTTGAATGAATCTGAACTACCAAACGTGTCTATTGTAAGACAGTTTAAACAACCTTTAACATCAGGCAAAGATAACCTGGATTTAACGCAACATGCAGACTATAAATAATGATTGCATTTGTTAAGAAGGAACTTTGTCAAAAAATATATATATTATGCCCTCGTTTGGTAGGCTATAAATTACCCGATAATACGATTTAATAAACTAACCACACCCTTGCCTGTTAAGTGTACCAGTTTGAATGAATTTTTCTTCATAGTACTTGAAATCATCATTAAAAACTGCTTTTGTAGTTATCTTTGTATAGCATTACTGTTGGCTACTGTTTTCCAGGCAGACATTATCATCATGCTGAATACTTAGATCAGATCAAGTGTGTAAAGTCCAATACTTAAAACTATTTAAAATGTTACTGAGATATTCTAGATCGATTGGAAATTCTTTACAAGTTTTTAAAGCCTTTACTCGTGTTTTTTTTTTTTTTTTTACAAACAAAACTGTCCATCTTGATGCTGTATTTGACAAGAGGAGTGTTGCTTGATAAGTTGGGAGTAGTCAAATCTAATCTACATTATTAACACACAATGCATCAATGTTACTTAAAGAAAAATCCCCTTTCATTGTATTTGCACAAATATAAACTTGTGGAATTCAGTTCAGTTAAAAAGGAAAAAAAAACTTAATTGATCCGAAAGGGAAATTAAATTAAATGCAAAGTAATCCACTTTAGATTTGTGAATTCAAACAGATGAAATTAAATGTGAGGACAATCAGAGGCAATGCGTGACTTATCTTTCTAATTACCAGGGTATAGTATGTTTGGAGTCGGAATCGGCATCATGGCGTTCGGCTACTGGCGGATGTTCAGATGGAACAGAGAGAGGAGGTAAGGCACGGCTCTCGTTTCGGATCCTCCGTCAGGTTGTCTGCCATGGCCACAGCGGGGTTGTGATGTTTGTGCCGCAGGCGCTTGCTGATCGAGGAGCTGGAGGCGAGGATAGCGCTGATGCCGCTTATTCAGGCAGAGTCCGACCGGAAGTGAGGATGAGAACCCGCACGTCGACGTTCGGAAGTGGGATCGGATCGTCGCGTAACAAATGTGTTTCGCTTTTCCACAGAACTTTAAGGATGCTGAGGGAAAACTTGGAAGAGGAGGCAATCATCATGAAAGATGTGCCAGGCTGGAAGGTAGAGAATATATATCCACAAAATGATTCCTTATATTTTTTCATAACTCTCTTATATAATAATAAACTTATAATTTTTTGCATTAGCTTTTATTTTTTATGCTGCTGCACCTTCTATTCCAATACCTAAGATCAAACTACAGGAAGTGAGGTAAAGGGGACAATACAATAATATTATTTACTATCTTTATTATTTACTCTTGTTATAAAAGACCTACTTGAACGCCACGATACTATTTTGAAAATATTTTAAATTGAAGATCACACAGAATTGAGCTGAGTAAATATGGTGATCAATAAGGATATTGATTTTCTACTACAATGCAGCACATAGCAGTAAATTGTTTGCCAGGTAGAAAAAAAGCCATGAATATTCTGGTTGGAAAAATGTAAATACTTTCATGAATGCTGTAAATTCATCAGGAAATGAGTAAAAATAGATTGAAAAATATATATAAAATTGGCCAGACCATTATATATCCTTTTCAGTAAAACCTCATTAAATTCTGATTCCAATGTTTTTCTATCTAAGTCTTATCTCCCAGTAAAATCTGCCGCGATAATGTTTTCTGCAGGTGGGTGAGAGCGTCTACCACACCGACCGCTGGGTTCCCCCTCTGTCAGACGAGCTGTTCAGCCTCCGGCCACGTGAGCAGTATTTGCACAAGCACTATGGCTTCCTGTGGTACGTGTGACTCCAGCCGTGATGAAGATCGTCCCAGACTCCATCAGCTCCCATGTGGACCTGAGCCCTCGCTCACTTCAGCTTGTAAATGTTCTATAATAAAGTTTCTTTTTTTCTTTACCCATATCTGTTTCTGGCTTTGATTCAAGTGTAAATATATATATATAAAAAGTTCCAATTAGGTCAGTACACTTTTTTTTCTGGACTTAATTTCTTCATTGTAAAATATTGTAGTTTTCGGCAGATACAGTACACACTAAAAGTTTGGACACAACCCTCTCATTTTTTGGGTTTCCTTTATTTTTATGACTGTTTATAAGGCAAGAAAGCCCATTTACTAGCCTGACAGGGCACACCTGTGAAGTGAAAACCATTTCAAGGTGACGACCTCTTGAAGCTCATCAGGAGAATGCAGAATGTGTGCAAAGCAATAATCACAGCAAAAAGTTGCTACTTTGAAGAAGCTACAATACAAGGCGTATTTTCACTTGTTTTACGCTTTTTTTAGTGCATATTTCTGCATGTGTTAATTCATAGTTTGATGCCTTCAGTGTGAATCTACATTGTCAATAGTCATGAAAATAAACTCATTGAATGAAAAGGTGTGTCCAAACTTTTGGTGTGTTCTGTATTTGCACTGGAGCAGCTTTAAATATAGCAGCTGTCAGTTTGCTGCTGGATGTTGGGTCAGTTTTTCAAACCTGGTGCTTGAGGCTCACCGTCCTCCATGTTTTCTGCTCCAGAACAGCCGATTTAAACAGTGCAGTAGACTTGTGCTTTTTGAAAAGCAATGAAGCTCAAATCTTACAAAAATGTATTATAAAGATTTAAGAATTACAAAACTTAATTATGACGGCACTAAATCCAGTCAAATTGAGATTTTGAAAGCACCCAACATTTCAACTGGCTTCTGCCCCCCTTAAATACCATCTACAGTTAATACTAGACGGTATTAAGTATTAACTGCAGACGAATGAGAGAAACCAGGACTATTAAGAGATGCTCGCTTGCAAAGTTGTAAACTGTCCACCTATTGGTCAACAGCCTTAGTAACAGATTACAAAGCATTGAGTCATCTGTTGCTATGGAGAACTGCCTCAGCAACCAATGAGGGGACGCTTCTTGGACACTGTTAATTTGCCAGATACCGTCTGTGGGAAATAGTTTTCCCAAATGTAAAGACCATCAAACTGCAACACAAACAGAAAAGCTCGACTTAAAAAGGACCCAAAAGCTTTGGGCCCTTTTAACAACTATTTAATTTTTCCAACCCCAAGTATCACAAAAGTAAATACTTTTAGTGAAAACAAGACAAAAGTGATTTCGTCTCAGCTTTATTTTACAAAAATAAAAAGGGAGCATTAGCTGCATGTTTCAATCGTCTTTGATGTTGAACATTTCACTCGCTTCTGTTTTACACATTCGTTTCTGACAAGCCATCCAAAAGGACCTTCAGTACTTTTCGGTGCCGACTGCACCAAACCGTCTCCTTCATAGGGACCTGCAACACAACAACATGCCAGGTTTACTCTAAGTATTTTTGTTTCACCTGCAAAGGTCTACATGTAGTGTCATTTACCTGATAAGGTGAGTCTGCATTAGGCACTGTGCCAGCTGTAGCCATCAGACCACACTGTGATGAGATCCAGTCAAGTCTCAGCTGGTCAGTTCAACCTAGAGAAAAACATCAATTAGGCCTAAAAACACACAGGGAGCACAAGACTCTGCATGCAACACTTAAAACTTGCCATAGGAGAACAGACATTTCAGTAGTGTGGTTGCAGTAATATGGGTGACTTGGAAAGTTATTACTGGAGGAAATTTTGAGGAGCAATGGGGGTGAACAGAACTTGACCGAGCACAATTCTATCCGTGACTTAGAGGCAAATGCTTGCGGACTTTCAGAGCGCTACAATCCCGAAGCTTCCTTAAAACATTCCCTCATTATGGCATTATCTGATTCGGGGAGGAGGCCATGGCATGGTTGCAGGAGACATCTGAAGCACAGGACTTTACACAATTGTAGGTATTCATGGAAACAATGAACTGCTTTTCAAGGATGTGAGCAAAGCAAAAGGAGATTTTTACCTCACGTGCATTGGCCTACTTTCTTCATTTATGATATAGGCAAGAGCAGCTTTTCATCTTTGAGCCCTTGTTGGCAGGCGCAACACTTCTCTCCAAGGACTTGTAGGTTTTTGAAGGAGCTGAGGTCTTGAACATACTGAAGCACTGACAGGACACCAGCTGATGGCTTGAAAACTTGTGTCACTTTCAATTTTAATTTCACCTGAAGTTTGAACTCTCTGGACAGGATTTAAATCAAATTCCTTTTAACAAATGTACAGGAGGCACTGGACCAAAAGAAAATTTGCCTAAACTTGCATGAGAGAAATCAAGCAGCTGCACAAAGTTAATCTTTCATGGAAGAAAGCCAAATTTTAGTGCCCTTCCACAACATCCGTTTTAAGTGATGTTGGGAATAAAACAGTGTTCCCACGCAGCAATGAGTTAGCCACCACCTTAACATTTCCCGTGTGATCATTTTGAAGAGGCAACGGAATCAGGATCATTTCACATTGTTTTAATAGGCTCCATGAAGCCAAACTGACAAAGAAAAAAAAATCTTGGATCATACAAAGAACATAAAGTACAAAAAAACTGTTCCCGTTCAGTTTACTCTGGTAACGAAGTTACATTTTCTGATCACTTTAAACAAGAGAGTCCATTTACAGCACATTTAAGATGCAGATGTTGAGCAGAGCACAGAAGATACCTTGGGCAGACTGTAGCATGCTGCATTTTGCAACTTCATGAACAGCCGGCCACTTCGGATGTGTAGTTCACCAGGAATTCACTCTTTTGGGAGATTGAACACAAAATGAGCCTTGGGTAAGCTAAGGTTCTCAATAGTTTAAGAAATTTAACAATAAAATCCCCCAAAGGTTAATCTGAGTATGCTAGTTCTTTCCTCAGCTTAAAGATTTGGTAGGAGGTAGGTCAGTTTATCAACAAGGATAACAAAAAAAAAAAGCCCCATTAAGATCTTATAAAAAACAAAACACTTTAAAGTGCTGGACAAAAGAAATTAGCTGATTAACTGATCGACAGAAAGCAATGTGGATAGCTGCTTTATCCCCATGTAATAAAAGAAGGGGAGCGTACAGTAGTGAGATTATACAGATGTTTTGAACGATGGGAGTGGTCAATTGAGAAAGTCTACTGAATTTTAATTTGCAACATGGTTGAGAAATAACCAAAACTCAAGGCTACATTTAAGTCAGATGCCAAGCTTCTACAACAGAACTACATAATACACGTGGACATGTTTTTTTTTTTCTTGAGGAGCACAGCTTTCAAATACGGCCAGCCAAGTGATGAATCTTGAATCAGGGAGGTTTACTCGTGTGTCGCTGGAGGATAAGAAGTGGGCACAGGTAAAGACACTGAATGTTGACACTGGTGTTTCACAATATCCATTCAACCCACTAGAGCTACAACCCTCCCTTGTTTTATTTTGCTCAAAGGGCTCCATCAGTTGAGAAGTGAGCGACTTTTGAAGGTGGCATTGTCATCTGCCTTAGAGCTTAAATGTCTCCGCCAGCCTCTTTCAGTGTGGAACAGGACAGCAAAGACAGGCAACTGTATGCAATGAGGCTTGACCTTGGGCTCAGGTACAGAACTGAGGGGCACACATGAGTCTTAAATATTAGGGCTACAAAAGGTATCCTTAACACTACTTACATATGGCAGTTTGAAAGAACTGTTTTTTAAAAAAATCCTCCAAATTTGTGCTATGGCAAGTTGTCAACGTCTTTAGTACAGCACTACAACGTATGGTATCACTTACGGTTTGAAACCCACAAAATAGCTACGTTTAAGTCACATAAAAGATGCTTACCATAGCTGTCATAGCTGTCGCGATAGGATCCAGAGCGGTCTCCATATCCACCCTGTCCCCTAAAAGATGACAAAGTATGTTTTACTGTCTTTATCAATTCTAGATGTTGCTATTTAAAGGCTGCTTAGCAGACTTACCTGTTGTCCCTGTAACCACCTGAGGAATATCCTCCACTTCTGTATCCACCGCCACCAAAGCTCCTGTCTCCACCACCAAAGCTCCTGTCGCCATAGCTTCTGTCACCGTAGCTTCTGTCACCGTAGCTACCACCTAAATGCACAGAGTAAATATTACATACAAAGGAGAGAGAGAGAGAGAAAAGTGAATTAGTTTGGTTCTAATACTCACCACGACTGGAGAAGCCGCGTCCTCCCCTTCCCCCACGACCACCAGAGTTGAACCTGCCTCCTCGTGGGCCAGAGCTAAACCCTCCTCTGGAGCGGCCACCCTTTCCTGCCTCATCAACTCGAATTGCCCGGCCGTCAAGTGTCTGCATTTCGTTAAAAGAAACAAAATATTTGTTTCTACGTCTAAAAATATTCTATTGCAGACAGCTAGGGTGGTAAGTTAAAGCATAAAAATTACCTTTCCGTTCATGGCATCCAGAGCATCTTTAGCATCCTCAACATTGTCGTATTTCACGAAGCCGAAGCCACGAGATCTTCCGGTCTCTTTGTCTCTGATTACATCAACTAAAAAAATATATATTTTTTAAATTAATATCAAACTTTTAAACTTACATTTAACTTTCACTGAAAGCCCTTTCCAGAATATAAGTTACATAAATCTATCTAATTAAATAGGCTACCTTTTTCGATGGTTCCATATTTGCCGAAAGCTGCAGCCAAAGAATCTTCGTTGGTCTCGAAGCTCAGACCTCCGATGAACAGCTTACCCTCATCCGACATTTTCAAAATGTAACTGAAAGAGGACGGAAAAAAATAAGTGTTAAAAGAAAATCCCACACGCCGCATCCGAGCCTCATCAAGTAAGCAGCAAGCACGATGACGCAGCTTTAGCAGAAAGTAGGTCAGTTACAAAATGGCGCCTGGCAGTTGCGCACTTTTTGGTCAGACGCTCATCGCGTTTTTCGAAGTGATACAAATGTCTTTTAGACTAATAAAATGTGGAAAATGAACGGTGTAAACCTAGTTATCCCCATAAAAACCTAACGTCTTTTCGAATTCCGAACAAGGAATGCCTTTGTTTCGTTTAGCCATTAGCCGGGTTTTTCCTCGTCGCCATTTTGTATAACCGGGCTGGTCTTTGTCTTAGTGACCTACTTAAGTGCAGCACGCTGCCCTACTTTTAGGGTTACATAAGTATTCAAAACAACCAAATCCGGCTAAGAATTGCCTGGTATGGGTTTCTCGTGTGTTCTGCACGAAGAATACAACGGATTTTAGAATTTTAATCTTCAACGTATACCAAAAAAAAAAAACATATTTCAAACACACCAACACCTTACGTTAAAATAGAATGATAAATGCCGAACGGTCAAACTCCGCTCACGTAGATATCAAAATTATAGTAAATTTGAACGGCGCAAATACCTTTAGTCTTTATGTGGAGAACAGGAGAACGTGAGGACGTGCCGATAAGAGTCGAGTGAGACCGGGAAAAGAGGGGCGCCCCTTTTTATAGCTTTGGCTCTGAACGCTTCTTCTGCTGTTCACCCGTACGGTAACTCTACTGCCATCTCCCGTCCAGCGCATTGAACAACTACTAATGCAGGCTGAAAAACAACTTGTGGGCATGCTGAAAACACTTTGTTTCGATTACGGAACGAAAAGTCTTTCCACTTTTCGCACTAAAACCCAAACTATTCTTTATAGTGTCCATCACATTTGCTGTGTCCAAACCATTTAATGGCAGAATTACATTTATCATTTCGTATCTCTGTGTGGTAATTATAGGGGCGGTGTTGGTTTTCGCGGCTTCTCTTCCTCATGTTCCCTCCATTTTGCTTCATTGATCCAACTTTCTTATTGTCCAAAAAACACAAAAGTCCCATGAATTTGTTTTCCATTGTCTGCGTACACCCCTTAGAATTATTATTATTATTATTATTATTATTATTATTATTATTATATTATTATTATTATTATTATTATTATTATATTTATTATTATTATTACTATATTATTATTATTATTATTATTATTTATTTATTATTATTATTATTAGTTTATTTGTCTTTTGGTTAGATTATCTGAACTCAAGCAGCAAGACCTGATCAATTTATGAATTTTCATGAAGACCAATATACAAACTTGCAGTGTGTGAGGTAAAAGTATCTCTAAAAGCATCCATAACATTAAAAAGCTGCAATGGCCACCAAATATTAGGAACACAAATGGCAATTGAGATTTATAGCAGGTTGTTTTGGCATTTAGTGTAAAACAGAAAAACTGTGGTTACTACTTTAAAATACAGTCAAAAATCGCAGGTCAGTGAAAATACCAGGTTTATTTAATACCATGCACATAATATGAGAGCCACAAGACCAGAAACCCGTGCACAGGTCAGATTGAATCTCCAAGAAAGGTGCAGAGTCTCTATTGGCTCCGTCAGCAGGCAGACAACACAACAGTTTTATATGAAGGGCAAAAAATATTAAACACTGGAGAGACAGCTTATCTCCCAAGCAGCAATAGAAAACAACAGCTAACAATGGGTTAGTTAGGACACATATGAACTCTTTCCACCAAGCAGGAGAGGGTCTGGTTTTATTTAGGTGTATCTAACCAGGGTGAATTACAAGTTGTTCCTTTCAGATTTATTTTTGTAAATAAAATAAAATAAATCAATGTAAAGCACATAGCATTTTCTTAACCCTAAACAATTTCCACAATGTTGTCTACCAAACTAAATAAAATACTTGGGAGTAGAATGATGCAGAAGTTTGACAAAATAAAAATTTACATGGGGTTTTATTGTACTTTTTCAAGACAGAGTAGATTGGGGAATCGAATGTGTTGCATATAAGATGGCCTTGTCACAAGCATCCCATTTGACTTTGTTTTGACTAATTTTGGCTTCTGTATCACTGCTGTTTCTTAGTGTTTCAGTATGTAAAGCCACCCCAGGAGGTTCAACTCCACCTCTCTGCAGTTGGCGCTGTAAAAAAAAAAAAAAAAAAAAAAAAATTACAGACAGGACGTGGGGGTGAGACGCTAACAATAAACCAGATGAGGGTCATCAGCCAGTTGTTGATATCCTGCAGAGGTGTAGTTGCATTTGAAAATGCCTTCCGGGTCTTTCAACTTTCAAACAGAGCCGTTGGTTGAAAACTGGCTGTTCAGGTTTGCACAGAAATCAGCCTGTACTCCTCTGAGCGATGGTCCTTTAACCTGAAACCAGCTCTGCTTTGGATTTTCCCAATGCATTCATGTTTTTAGGGTCTCTGTGTCACATAGTCTTCATTTTACAGAGTGTCACCTCTCCAACATTGGGTGCAAAGCCCAGACAGTATTTTCATTCATGCTCATGTGTTTTATCAGTCATCAGCACACCCCCGGCTGCTGCAGCTCCTCTCACCGCAAATGATTTGTCTGTATGAGCAGAGCTCCACCTACGATGCCATCTGTATTCTCGATGCTGTTCTGAACGGGTGGCGTTCATCACTTTTGATCGACCCCTATAGCGAAACTGGAGAGTTTTATGAACAGCTACGAATGGCAGGATTTAGACAAACCCGCGTTTCTCTTTATTCAAGCACGGCATGTATGTTGCTAGCGTTAGCCCTAGCCACACTGCAGAGAGCTGAAAATATATCCTGGGATTGAAGGAGATCTGGGAGGTTCCCCTCAAAAAAGAACAAAATCCACACTTTGAATGCTAATGAAGAATAGTCTGGCTCAGACTTGGAATTTGCATGTCACACTACAAAGGAGATTTGTCTTTTCACCACAGAGCCAGGATTGTGACAAAAGGTGTGGGGGATGGGAGCTTCTCTTTGCAGTGCTAAAAGGAGGGGGAGTATGGAGGAGAGTGTAGGAGGAAATGGATGTTTTTCTTTCCAAAGCAGTAAAATCTCCTGTGTGTTTCACATGTGTGAACGTACAGGAAGCAATAAACAGTGGTAGTGAGACAGAGAATATACAATTATGCGTTCCTTGCTTTTATAGTATGACTATTCTTTAAATATTCATTCAGTTGAATTTAGTCACAGTCCACGCCTTAGAGATGACACTGAATGAAATAAAGGATGAAGAGCCAGTTTTGATTTGATCTATTTCTTGTTCCCCACCCTCGCCAAAAGGCGTTGACAATCTTTATCAGTTTCATCTAATGCTATGTGTGACTGACGCCAGTCTTATGTTATGGCTATGTAAGCATGAAACAATGTGCATGTAAGCAGATAAAAGATATAGAGAAAAATACACAGAATAATACATCCAGAACATTCATTCAGTCAACAAATATCACGAAAACCAGTTGATTCTTCCAATAAATGTCTCAACATTAAAGGGTGAAATCCGCATAAAAAAGTCGAATGAACTAATAAAGTCCTTTCAAGGTTTTATTAAGTCTCTGTTTTCATTATCGTTTATATGCTCTTCTTTGTTTTTTAAAGGGAATATTCTACAAAGATGACACAGATTCTTCACATTCATGATAAGGCAATATATTGCTTAGAGTTGTGGTCAGTTGTAAGAGGCACACTCTTTAATAAACATGAAAGAGGTAAGTCACCTGATCAAATACATTGATCTCATCTAATCACAGATAAAGCTCAGCTTTTTGAAGTTAAACTTAACTCAGACTGCATCACTAAGTAGAATATTTACATAAAATGTACAGAACAGTACGCCATAGAAGACAAGTCACAGTGTTTGGACTTTGTCGTTCACATTACAGGAATTACAGCGTGGAGGTAAACCAGAAACCAACACAGACATATCAATGCATATTTTAAGGGATAATTCAAGATTTTAAAACTAAAGATGCCTTCAAAGGTTTTGAGTTGCTAATGTATTATAAATATATAATACAACCCTTCTAGTATTTGTTCAATAATCAGATTAGACAGACCTGGAGGCTGAACCTAATGCTGGCCCAAGAGGAGCCATGACATAAGTTCACTTCTATCTTAAAAATACTCAAATCTCATAAATGTGGTAGAAGTTTATGCAAACGCTCATATGAAATGTCAAGCCATCAAGTGGTTATTTACAAAGAAGCTCGTGTAGTTATACGAGCAGCGTAGGCTGGAGGCGGTGCGCCACCAACGATCCTCCTGCAGTATGTTCTGATTACAGAACATAAATGACTTGTTTTTTTAAAAAAAAGAAAATATTTTCAATGAGCTAGAAACTAAAAATCAGCCTATTTTATGCACAAACACATCCTCAATGACTATGATTAAGTTTATTTCCACCAAAGATTTAGAAAAAAAGCAACAAGTTGAATGTTTTGTTCCAAGGTAGAATATTTTCTGTCGTCATTTTTAATTGTGAAAATATCATGTCCTACAGTAACAATGACCACTGAGGCTTGTTAGGTATATAAGAATATTTTGATATTAATCAATTTCTTTAATGATTAATCCTTTTTTTTTTTAGGGATTTCAATAAGGCTCTAGAACACTGTAATTGTTTTTAATTCTAACCTGCACACATAATCCTGGCATTATTTGAAAACAAGTCTGCAAAGATTATACTAAATAAGAAGGGTTATATCCCTCAGTTGGGATAGTAAGACCTTTAAAGACCCTCAATTTAAAAATTCTGAAATATCCCTTTAAAGATGAGGAGGAAAACATAATGTATATTTCATGAGCTAAGGATAGTCTTACTGGTCAAGGAGGAAAACTAGAAGGACCATCGGTAAATACTGCATGTTGTTGTAAGGCACAACTCATGAGTTAAAAACGACATAGTCCTGCATCATTTTCAAGGTTGATTTGCCATTTGTTTTGTGTCCAGAGACTAAAAAGCCCCACAGAACTGACAGAAACCCTCTTTATCAGAAGTACTCATGTTTCGTCTATGCTCACAGTGACTAAACTCTAAAAAATGTGGAACAGAGAAACAAACAGAAACAAAGGAACCTTCTGTAATGCTATGCTACATGAAGAGCCATCTCCATCATGCTCAGTAAAAAGACACAGGAAAAGAGCTGTATAAAGCTTATACGTTTTTGTTTGTCTAATATATGTCACCATAAACAGAAGAAAAAAAACCTGCTCTGGTTTTATGTACTGCATATTTATGAACATTTTTTCCTTCTGCTCAAATAGCTACAAGAAGAAATCACAGTGAGCGGTTTGCGTACACTAGGAACGGTGGAGCCGGTGCTGGTTTGGTTGAGCGAATCCGTGGAGGAGAGAACACCTACGAATCCGCCTATGGCGCCGCCTCTGATGCATCAGAAGCTGCAGGCGCTCCATCTTGCAGTGCATTGTCTTGTTCTCTTCAGAGGAGTGAAGCGTCTGACTCTCATCCCCTCCTGGAGAAAGAAAGAAAAAAAAAAACTGTTACACTTGATGCATGTGTGTGAAAACAAATAGGTTTTACAGAATTAATTTGCAAAGAGTGACATTGCACCTTGAATAAAGACAAATATTATATATATATATATATATATATATATATATATATATATATATATATATTAATTCTGGTGGAAAATTTTGAATTCCTGCTGGAAAATGGACTAATTGAAGACTTT